ACCACTAGCCTACCACAGCCAATCAGCTTCTTGCTGACGGGCTGCAGTTAGCCGCATGTTGCCCGGTAACCGTGGCTGAGTGAACTATCTCTTGGACCTTCCGGTTACCATGTACGTAGACCCTGAGGCTACAGGCCCGGTTACCGTGTACGTAGACCCCGAGGCTACGTACACGGTTACCGTGTACGTAGACACTCCGTTTAAAAAATACCAAAAGGAAAACTAATCAATAAGGACTCACTTTAAAAATTGCATATATGTGTCTTTATCATACTTCTTCAACTATTTCTCTGATTTTTCTTCTCTAGATCTAGATCTAGATCTAGATTCTAGATCTATAATCTAGATCTAGATCTAGATCTACATTCTAACACTGTCAAGATCTAGATATAGATCTAGATCTAGATCTAATCTTAGATGTATACTGTATACTAGATTTACATCAGACATCATCAGTGGTTGTTAAATTGAATACGATCATGTCATGGTGCCGCGAACGTAGTTTTTTTTCAGTAGTTTACAGATATCAATAAATCAATAGATCTAGATCTAGATCTAGATAGCAGTTTTCAGGGAAATCTGAACTGAGGGTGAGGGCCTTGAGACTGACTGAGGGCAGTGAGGGTCGAATCTTACTTTTTTTTCTGAACAACGAAACCACAACGGGAAAAAAACGTCGTCAAGATGCGTTCAGTTCTTGAATTCTGACCCAGCTTTATAAAGGCCGCAGGAGTTGGCCGGCTCACTTACGGAATATGTAAAAGACGTGATACTGTATCAACATGATACTAAGGCACAAGCCAAGCGTCCTTGACAGCATGCACGGGAGCATCAACAATGAGAAGCCCGGCGAGCCGACTGTTGTTTCGTTTCAACGAAGTTTCCGGTTTGCTTCGTAATGAACTAATCACAACGATGTGGTTTGGCAATATTAGTTTTCAATTACATTCTCATTCAAACATTATGATTATTCATTTATTTATGTTCAGCATACACGCAACTCCACATACGAGCATTGGTTGAATTATTAAACACAAAATAAAGTAATGAATCACAAAAATAATAAATGAATGTTTTAAAAATCGCTTTGTACAGTGTAACAGGGCCTTCTTTCAAAAAAGTGATAAAATATTGAAGTTTAACATCGATGTTATATTCTATAAATTATATTAAGATTTATCATCGATGTTATTTTCTATAGGCCTATCTTGGGTTTTTCTGACTGTCGTTTGTCTTGATTCTAATTCACTTCTTGTTTGTCTGTTTGTTTCTTTGTTTGTTTGAATGTACACTACTCGCTGTCCTTGGATAACTTGACAGGGTAAGGGGAGAGCGGGGAGGCTTTTCGGACATTTTTACTTTTGGCTACACTACTCGCTTCAGGAACAATTTGGGGGCTCTCGTGGCCTTGAGGTTAATGTGTTCGCCTCTCATTCAAAGGTCCCGCGTTCGAATCCGGGTAACGACGGAAAAAATTCTTCTCTAAATTTGTCTCCTTTCACCTCCTTTCCTGCTCTCTAGCAATGTTCTGTCGTCTGCTTTCGTCTCCATTCTGCCCCCACCCCCTCACCTCCTTTGCCCCCTCCTCTGGGCTCCATGACTCTCTCTGTAGCCTTTCTGCTGCTTCTCCTTGGCTCCTTTTTACTGCTGTCTTTCAGCAACACCCCTGATCTTCTAGTAGGAAAAATCTACACCTAGCCTTCTCGGACAAGGGCGAAAAATCTCGGAGGTCCCGTGTGCAATTTGCGAACGTTAAAGATCCCTTGGTGGTCTCAAATCGATAAGAGTAGGCTTCGGCCGCCACCTGGGCAAAATCCAAAATTTCATATCTATGTTTAATGTGTCCCGCGCGCTCATATGTGACCTTATGCAGTTGCAAAACGCAGTAAAAACACTTACCAAAAAAAAGGAACATTTAAGCCTAAGCAAAAGGTTTCACCATTATTGCAGGCCATTTTAATTGGGCGTCACCACTTGGGATACAGTTATAATATAGCGTGATTTTAAAAAAACGGTATAAATTTTTGTGTTAACACTTTCCTCCACACTGAAGTTTTGCGTTTCAAATTTCTACACAGAATTTGAAAGTCAAAAGGAATTTGTCTGATATTCATTTTAGATAAATCCACAGAATAGTTTTGCTCCACATAGAGCGTAAAGAAACAGCCCATTTTCAGCTATGTCCCCATTTTTGTAGCTTGACGCATTAGTTTGCATAAGGCCTATCATTAAAAATCCCAACGATTGCGCCATATTGCAAACTACATAGTACAACAGACCAACAGAAGTTTGAAGATAGTTTTTATCAAGTTTACTTTGCCTACTGAGATCATGGCTAAGATCAATAAAGAGCAGAGAGCACTTCAGGTCAAACACACACCGTTCACACCCCTTTTAAATGTCACCAAGGTGCAGAATTCAGTAGACGGACCCAATGAGACCTCTCTCCGTAGACGATGTCTCTCAACGGTCCGCATTCTCAAGGCTGTATCTTCATCTTCGACTGTACCATTTCCCCGTTAGCGAAGCTATCAGAAGATAGCAACATGTTCATGATTCCTCGATCGTCTCGAAAAGCGTGAACATAATTCCTCTATGACATTTTCTGTTCCTTGCAAAGCTTATATTCACCCTTCAGGTTATATTAACTCCACTAATGCTGTCTATTTGGGCAACTTCACCCCCC